TTTGAAAAGTTCGAACCGACATGGTCATAAGAGAAAAAAGTCTCGTTCTCGGTCCCAGAGCAAGTCTCGGGACCATTCAGACGCTGCCAAGAAACACAGGCACGAAAGGGGACATCACAGGGACAGGCAGGAGAGATCCCGCTCCTTCGAGAGGTCCCATAAAGGCAAGCATCATGGTGGCAGTCGCTCAGGACATGGCAGGCACCGGCGCTGACGTCTCCTCCCCTTGAGCCAGCATCAAGTCTCCGTCTTGCCTCTACAGTGTGGTGTATGGACTCATAATCAAAACATTAAAAGCAAACTGATTAGGATTTGATTTATTAAAGCCCTCTAGGTCTCTAGAAACACTGAGGACATTTTCTTTTGAAAAGAACTATGTTAAATTTTTTGCACATTAAAATGCCCTAGCAGTATCTAAATGGAAACCATGGTCAGGTTCAATTGTACTTAGAGTTGTGTAATGTTTATTGCTATAAGAACGAGCGAAAATTCTGTAAAAATCTATCTTATTTTTATACAGATAAAATTGCAGACACTGTTCTATTTAAGTGGTTATTTGTTTAAATGACGGTGAATACTTTCTTAACACTGGTTTGTCTGCATGTGTAAAGATTTTTACAAAAATAAAATACAAATCTTGTTTTTTTAAACTGCTTCAAATATTTTATTTAAATAAATTATTTTAAATAACTTGATTTTAATAGTAAAATGACTGGTACTGGTTTTCTGACAATACCTTTCACTCCTCCCCAATTACCCCAGTTAGATACATTCTGAGTTCAAATAACAGTTCTTGGGCAGTGGATGCCAAAGCTGATGAATCCGTGGCCCGTGGAGTTAAACAGTAAATGTTAGATTGCAGCGCTAGGTCAATCTCCTGGGAAGACATCTGATTAGTACATGGATGGTACCATGAGGTTACTTTTTTAATTCATAAAATATTTTTTCACGCCTTATACTGACCAATGCCTCCCTTTACCCACTTTTCTATTGTTCATCCCCCAGGGAGGGAGTTTTATGCAGATCATTGTGTTCGGTTACCCCTCTTTCTCACCCCCCCACCCCAGCCCTTCCCTCCTGGAATCACTAATTAGTCCTAGGGGGTTATCTGTCCTGGATTCCCTGTGTCTCCAGCTCATCTGTACCCGTGTACATGCTCTGGTGTAGCCGGATTTGTAAGGTAGTGTTGGAATCATGATA